CCGACAAGAAAATTCACGGCAACAAACCGTGTTTGTCCTTTTGTTCGGTTTGCATTACGCATAAGCCCATCAACAAATACCACGGCCTTGTTTACATCAAACAGCTTAAGGACACACAAAGAACGGTACATGAATCTAAACAAACACACCTCGATGACAACTTTATAACCTCCGGCAGCTCACGAAATTCCAAATTTATTTATTCAAATGAAAACAATTAACCCACCAAATCAACCAAATATATCTGACTAAACAAACGCGTCCATTTAAAAAAAGCGTATATGACATTGTTTCCTTTGGCTTCGTGTACTCTTTTCTCCTCTATTATACATCTCGCGACCTTTTTTCCTGCCTTGTTCCAATCGGCGCGATCCATCTTTTGATGATGAAGAATGTGGAAAAAAGTGGTGCTGTGATATAAATCTCTGTCACGAAATTTCACTTAAAGGACTTATCCTTCAAAAGGACTCCAAGAAGAATTGAAAAGTGACAACTCACAAACCAAAACCGGAATGCGAACAACCTATTAACGGGATGATATGAAAAACGGAGTCGCCGTGACAGGGTAAAAGGTAAATCGCGCTCGCGCGATAAATGCCGAACATGCAACAACTTGAATACACACACATTCATTCATGGACACAATGGCATTTGAGTTGCAGCTCGGCAGTGACAACGCAACAAATTAAGTTCGTTGTGCTTAATCCCATATTTAACTATTCATTTGGAATCGCTGCTACTGACACGGAACATATAACGGAAGGATACTTTTTCCACTCTCCTTCTCTCTTTCATCTTCGTTTCAACTCAAATGAGTGTTATAAACTTAAATCAACGCGATTTGGAACAGTTTTTTTGTTCTTTCGTTCTCTCTTTGGTCGTCTTATTTTAGTGTGTCTGTCTTGCTGTGGCATTTCCCGAACGAAAATTGTTCATCTATGTGCTTCGCATCCAATTTAATATTTCGTTCATTTCGGTGCATTGTCTCATTTCATACATGTATTTGTGTGTGTGGATCGCATTCGGTTTAATCAATCGACCTCGGTCACAAACACAGCAAGCACCCAGAATACCCGCTGCGACTGCTGGTGATGTCTTAAAAGTGGGTATCAGTTAAAACAGGGCAATGATTTCAAAGATTCGACGTTTCGTCTTGTTCACTTTTTTTTCTACTTGCCTCAAATAACAAACCAATTTTCGCGTCTTTGGAATTTTCGTCATATTTGTTGTTCCTTCGTTCCATTCTGTAGGTAGACAGGAGATTGTTAACCGATTGCCATTTGATGTGTCTTTGTTGTTGTTTGTCGTCGTCAACGCGGCTTTATGGCGTGCAATACATTTTGGGTCGTGTTGCGATTGACTGATCTCTCTCTCTCTCTCTCGTTCATTCGCAATGAGTTGGCAGCCTGAATTGCCGCGCGCGCAGCGCAAACACACACGGTGCCCGACAGAAAAATCGCAGGTAGCACGCCATGTACACAAACAAAAGTAGCAAAATTAACTCAAATTTAAAAGGATAAAATTTCATTAGGTTTTGTATTAGCTCGATGAATGTGCGTGTCTCTCTGACTCTCGGTGCGTATATATATATATACCTTAAGGTTTCGTCTTCTGTCGTCTTCCCGTATTCATTGTTTATCTATTGTTTCGTTCCATCGAGTTCGATGTTAGTAAATTACAAAACAGTTGAACGAAGCGAAGGAATAAAAAAAGAACGAGGAAGGCATTCACCGTCTTCATCGCCTGTCATTGCAATGCATAACTTTTCTTCCTTCCAGTTTGTATTTCTGAATGAATTTAATGAACAGAGAAATACAGAGCGAGAGAAAGCAGCAAAACTCATAAAATTGCAATGATGCTGATCAAAGCGAAAAAAAGAAAGAACAACACCAAAGGAGGAACGAAAAAAAAACTACACACACCAGGAATGAACAATGCGAGGCGAGAGGTTCAACTTTTTGTTGTGTGCGTGCCATGCCATTCTCAAACTTGAATGGAATGAGCGAGTGTTTTTAATTTCGATCACAACACGATTGTAAATCACAACTCATTTTGATTTTTCGAAATCAAATAAACTAGATACCGCAATCAAGGTAGGAGCTGAACATAAGAAAAAGAAGAAAAATAATAGTAGAGGAAAAACCCTCTTTCGTTGCGAGCCGCAATCGACTGCGTTGTATACATATACATTTTGATCTCGCACTCTTTTGCCTCGTTTGGATAGTTAATTTATTGTTATTATCTCTTGGTATGTCACCAAGATTCGATTCGACGTCGTACTTTCACCGCTAAATTTAACAGCGACAATTTGAATTTTTCACAAAAAGGGTTCACATTTATGTGTAACTCGGTATTGGTTCGCTTTTGCAATGCAGTATTTGTGCCGGCGTAACGGATAACTTCTTAAACCGAGTCACATGGCAAATTCAATAAAATTGAAACGACGAAGTAGACAGACTCCGATCGAAATTTCATGAGCCATAATGTGTTTGTGTTTTTGGGGCTGAGAGAAGTAAAATCATGCAGAATAAATACGATGATAACATATCAATCAGTGTGAAGTGACATGGGCGTGCACCTTCAAGAAAAGAGAAAACTCAATATTTTGGCCAGTTTCGCAAATATGACCAAGCGTTTCGAATGCCTGAGATAAGATTGAAACCCAAAGTGAAAGCGAAAAACAAGAGGAAAATTAAGACAAGTCGAAAAAGAAAAAAAAGGCGCGTTCAAATCTTCATTAGCCACAAATCGTTGCGAAACGAATGGCTGAGTGAGGAAAGCAAAATCGAAACTCATAGACGCATTTCAATTTGGCTAGCATATTTAGTTCTATATTTGTTGGATGTTCTCTTTCTTCAATTCTCTGCGTTCGGTTTTTCCGTTTTTGCCATTTATTTCTTAGTTAAATAAGACGACGCGCAAGCAGGGGGTTCTTTAACACTGCTGGCACTTTTAGCAATAAAAATGGTTTTGAACAAAGTGCACAAAAAACAACCAGCAACAAACACCATCGAATACTGTCGAACGATGAACGACGACGAGGACGTCGACGGCGGCTATGGTCGATGTCGACAACGACGAAGTAAATTGAAGAATAGAGCGGAAAAACGTCAGATTAACTGAAGAATGGAAAAGAGAGACGGAGAGCGAAGAAGAGAGAAAGAGAGAGAGAATGAAAAAAAGCCGAGCAACAGCAATTGAAACAAGATATAATACGACAGTAACGAAAATCTTTATTGCCGCCTAAATTCTGCTCAGTCTCTCCTTCTATTTCCACTATATTTGGCCATTGTTTCTTCGTCAGTAAATCGCATAGTTTTTCGGTGCGTATGTGCGAGCGGATTTTCGTGCGTAGTTTTGAAAAACGAAAAAATTTAAATGCGAAACTCAACACACAACAAAATAACAAAAACTATTTACAACGAACGAAACGAAACGAAACAAAATGAGAAGAAAAACACGCTAAAGAATAGAGACGAATTCGGAGAAACTGAATTTCTGAAAAGGAAAACACAATAGAAATACCATTTGAAAAAACATAGCACCAAACAAAACAATGTATGTGCGGGTAGATTGCAGTGCATCGCAAAAAAAAAAAGATTGAACAAGCATAAAATAGACACGCATTCGTTATAGCTGCACTAAGCCGTACGCATTTCAATGTGCACGTTGCTGTGTGCTCGAAAACATTAAATATTGAATGTATTTTGCTCGGGGTTTTAAACGACTTTTCAACCATTCACCGCCATCACCATCACCACCACCATCGGCGAGCTGCATTGCTATCCTCATCGTTACATTTCACATTGTCATTCATTTCTTCGTTCGTTTTTTTTTCTGTTGCTTCCTTTATTTTGCATGTTCTTCTCTTTTTCTTTCCACGCTTGAACCATATGCACATCGACGATGACTATCAGCCTTTTACGCAGGATCCTCTTCTCTATTTCTTCTTAAGCCGGGTTATTTTAACTGCATCCATTGTTTACTTTTCGTTTTTTTTTCTCGCATTTTTACATTCGTTCGGTTATTTGTGTGTGCGAGGCTCAATTGATCGGTCGGTGGTGACTCAACGGATGTATTGTTAAACTCATTGAAATTCAATACATCACAAGTAATTTTTTTTGCGATCAATTCGATACAAAATACGACAAATCGCTTTCATTTTGCTAAGTTATCATAGATCTGTCGTTTTGGAATTACAATTTGATCAATTAAGTGAGATGGTTACTTTTCAAATTGTTTGAATCCTAAGCATACCAAAACAACACCAACAATAATCTTATTTCCCCCAAAAAACACTCACATCGTTCCGGATTCGTCCATCGTCTCAGCTTAAATACTAACTCAAACATTTTACAAAGCAATTTATTTCAATAAAAAAATGTTTATGGAACTCTTCAGGGAATAATGACTTTATAAAATGACCAACAGAAATTCATCGCCAATAAAATTCTATAGTATCACCGTATCAAATATATTTAAGTCCATTTTGCCAAATCTCAGAAAATGATTACGATTGAAATAAAAGAAACGAATAAACGCTGCATAATTTCCACATAAAATATGAATAAATAAGCAGCTTCAAACTGCTTAAGTTTTGAGCAGCTCATATATTTACTGTTGATAACAATCGCATGGCGTTCTTCGTCAGCTTTAAATGAAATTGAATGAATTTTGTTTATTTTTACTTAGAAATGTGCAAGAAAAATTCAAAATGAAAACAAAAGAAAGAGTTAAACGGGTATATTATCAGTAGTTTGGGATTTCGACGATAGACATCGAAACTATTGTCGACCGATCGATTCAAAATGATTTTCATACTAATGATTTTCTTTTTTTCATACTAATGATCTTGGGGTCAAAACTATAAATACTTGATTTGATAGCATTGAATTTATGGCGAAATGTATAATTCAATTCCCATTTTCGAGAATTCAAATTGTAATTCAAACTGTGTAATTTAAAAGTGCCTTTCATTTACATAAAATTAAGTTGCGGATGTGATATATTTGATTTTTTCGAAAATTTTGTCTATCCTCTAGTGTTTGGAGATTTGATTTGAAATAATAATTTAGAAGTTATTACTTTATTGCCATTTCAACTTTCCATCAGAACTTAAGCAATTTACTGGTTGTAATTAATTATTCACCGTCAGTTTGGACATTTTTACATTTTATCGCAATTCTTCATGGATGACGTTCGATGCAGTGCCTTTTTTCGTCTTTTTGCGCCCTCGTGCGAAATTTCGATTGCGCCCTTTTTATATAATTTTAATTTCTTTGAATATACCAACCTATCCCGTTTGATATTTTCTCCATTTTGCAACTTTTTCATATAATATTTGGTTGAGAATGAACGACCCATTTTTGCTGGAAATCTAATATCGATTTGAATGGGCCCTTTTTGAATGATTTTTGATCGTAGATTTTCACTTAATACAACTGGGAAATTCGCAACATCCGACAAATCAATATCATCGCGTTCCTAATTGATTGCATCATCTGATGAAAAATTATTTCATAACATATTATTCGTGGAATGAAAATAAAAATTATTCTGTTCGAATAAATTCAAATGAATAATTATTCGGTAATAATCGACGATGAACTTTGATTTATTTGGTGCTCAACCTGTGGATCTTGTTCCTCAGCTCGATATAAGCATGCTGCTTCTGCCACTTCTGTCTCGTTTCCATCAGCCTGAACGTTTTGTTCAACTTGAAAAGCAAAATAACAATCGATTTATTTTCTCTTATTGCATTCAAAGGGCGCAACGAAATTATACACTTATACACACCATTTTTTCGAGTGAAAAAAGTGTTTATAGGTTTTGAATTACTAACAGCCTCAGCTTCTTTCGCCTCACGAATTTTTTCAAACGCACTTCCAGATGGCTTCGTTTTTCTATTCATATTTTGATAAATCAGTTTTTATTTGGAGAACACAAAGTGGTTTCAGTTTGAAATCAGTATGAAGACTGAATCCAAATTGACAACATTCAATTACGAACAAAAAACTGATTTGTGAACATTCGCGTGAAGTAGACATACTTATTTCTGCTTATCACCAGTAAAGCAAAATAAATCTCAACTGCAAAATTGATTACTCAGCTTAAAATCGCTGACTTCTTATCAAATGCGCTACCGATTTATTTAGATTTGGGTTTTATTGTTTTCGTTTCTGTGTTTACTTAGCGAAAGACTGGATCATTCGAGAAAAAAAAAGAATTCATTGGAAAATCCTTTCGTCTTGCTTCTGTTTCAACGTTGAAATAAAGCGTGAGTTTGTAGCTGTGTCAAACGTTTTAAATCATTTCGATAAGAAATCTGAACGATGGTACAGTACTATATGTATATTGTGCTTGCTTTAGTTTTCATTTTGTTTTATTCTGTTTTGTTTTGTTTGATCAAATTGTGTTTACCAATTGTATTTTGGAAATTTATCAAAGTCTTAATGAGTCAGACACACCAATGTTGTGTGCTATTGCTATGTGTTTTACTAAAAGAAAGAGTTCGTGAGCTATCAAATTGCTGCACTCTTTGTTTCGTTCGCGATTTTTTTCTCTCGCTTGTGCCTTTTTCTTTTACTTGCGCTATTTTTCTATCGCTTGCGCCCCATTTTAATTGTTATAAATGGAATTGTTATATAATATTCTCTTTGCTCTCTTATTTATTTTTTTTTTTGAAAAATTCCCTTTTTTATATAGGCGCTCGAGCGCCTTCGGCGCTATCGCGCCCTCGTACATTGCACGACTTCGCACATAGGGAAAAAAGGCCCTGGTTCGATGTGCATCTAATGTTAGATTTGCATGTAATACTCTTAACGGCTTTTTCATTACGGCTCAAAGTGGTTTCAGTGTGTGTGCGCCGTAAAAATGATCGGAATAGATTTAAATATTGTCGGCTATTAGTAAAATTCGCAGAAATTAGATGGGTATTTGTGCATGTGCATTGTGTAAATTTGCGAAATAACGACAAGAGATAAGTTTATACCACATATATGTTAACTGTACTACAACATGCCAATATATTTTTCCGTTGTGCTATGCCAAAATGTAACAATGTATGTGGATTTGCTTACCATATTTCGCTTGGTTAATCTTTTTACATAAAAACGTTTCTGTGCGAAAGCCAGGTACCGTACCGTCCGAACTAAGATGGATTAGCTGAAACACTGTATTTGTTCTCTCTCTCTCTCTTTGTATCTCTTGTCCCGTCAAAACCGTTCAGCTCGGCAGTTCTGAACAAAAAACAAAACAACCGCATGGTTTTTGTTCTATTACTTGCATATTTAAAAAAAGGGTTATCTGTTCGATGATGCTTTTTGATACATTTACTTAAGTTTGATGTTTTTGCTCCCCAAATGTATCCACAGAGCTCGTAATTCCATTGAAACTATTCTCGCCTCATTCATAATGCGAAACTTTGCCTCCCGATTATTGGTACTGCTAATGTAAAATTACCCAGCGTGGCTTCATTCTATTTTTCACTTGACGCATCAAACGCTTTTATTGCTCCACAGGAAAATATGTCATTGAGAACGGACAAGTGCCAAGTATTTCGAAATATAATTGCGCAAAATTCAATTAAGGATCGATCGGTCGTCTTTCAAAATTGTGCCCCCCGAATGCTTATGTAAATTGAATTCTAATTCATGTCCAAGATTTTCATGCGAATACGAATTCGTAAGACCTGATTTCGATTGTGCATGTGATTTTCGGCGGCGAATGGTGAAAGGGATCCCTGATCTCAGGAAATGAATGTTGAAGCATTAGAAATGGAATACAATGGCCCCGTTACGAAATGCACATGAAATTCGTAGTGCGGTTTTGCACAGTGCATACTTAAGCTTCATTCGCTCACTTACTCACTCCCTCTCTCTCTCTCTCTCTCATCTATTTTCCCCCGAACCGGACAATGGATGGCTGATTGTGTGGGAAGTCTCGACTCATTCTTCGACTTGTTTTTCATCTTCTTGATATGGGTTCGCATTCACTGATTAATATTTCAAACCGAATGTCGTCTTCAAACACATAAATATCCAGCGGCTGAGCAGCACGTTGAATGGTTTTTGTCGTCATCAGTTTGGACAAGCACCACACATACACACACACACACACAACTATTGTTTCTTGCTGACTGTGCCAAAGCACAAGTTGGTGCTCTCCATTGCTGCTGCTGCTGCTGCTCTAATGTGTCGTGTACATTCTTTTTTTAATTTTCTTCTTGCCCCTTTCCAAACTCATTGCGACACAAAACACATATCCAAAAACTGGACAACATGCCACGAGAGATGGTGAATTTTGTAGCCATATTTCACTCCAACTCTAACTCTCTCTCTCCCTCACTCTCACTCACTCACTCACACACATATACACGTTGCAGGCGATTATTTATTGCAATTAATACAATTAGAGAACAACGAGTGTGTGCATGTGTGTTTGAGCCAAATGATGACGACGACGACACTGGCGATGCTGAAGATGCCTGATTGTGTAGTGCCGAGGCGCTTTGCTCGATATACCGTGAGAGCATACTTTGTAGACATGAAATAGCTTCTCAAGCCCGCACAACCAGCGAAATGAAGACGACTCCAAATGACATAGGTGAATGGATGGATGAAGGCTTGTGGTGACGGTCCTATCGGCCATTTCGACCCAAAGTTTCGTCTGCTCGTTCGTTCAATTTCCATTTTGACAAAATAATTAGAATTATAATATTCAAATAAATGGGTTTGAGGCAAAATTTTTGTGAGTTTCCGTGTACATCTCGCTTTCTCTCTCTCTCTCTCTCGGCCCTACTCTCTAATTTTTTCTATATCTCTTTCTCGAGACGGAGCCACAGAGAGACAGAGAATGAATTTAAAGGACAAACTCTTCGCTGGTCATCGTCGTCGTTGTCGTGGTTGTTGTGCTGTTGCGATGCGAATGATATGCTAACCGAAGAATGAGACAACAGAGAGTATGGCATGATGGTGAGGGGTCTTTCGTTCGTTCGTTGTATGAGTTGCGGGTATTTGTCTTCCTTTAAATGTGATATTAAATTGATGCACAGTTCGTAGAATTTCGAACGGACATCAGGAATACGACAGCAACAAAGCATTTCTATATCACTAAATTTGAAAATGCTCTGGTCCGTTCGTTCATCTGCTCGCTCACAAAATCACCTAATCAGATCTATATACAAAAGCTCTACATGCCATCTACCCAGAGAGACTGGTAAGACACTGCGCGCTTTCCATTTGACAATGCACTTGATTTAATGTAAAGTGGTACATAGACGTGCCAGAATATGCTTTCGCTTCAATTTAAGATGGACCGCGCTCAAACTTAGAAATTCTAAGTCCATCCTATCAACTATTTCGTTGCTTCCTTTTCGCCTCTTTGCTCTTTGCCACATTTCGGTGGAGCAATATGAGGCACACATGCCACAAACAATTATGCATTTGCAAATGGCTATGAACCGGTGTGTCATCTACATGAGATGCTGACCACATTACATGTCATGACGTTCGGTTCAATTTTAATATCGCACAAATTCAGCAGGCAGCAAAGACGAAATAGAAAAAAAACAATGGATTGAAAAGCAAATACATTTTCGGTATCGCATCTAAGCTACAAAGATACACACCAAGAGCCGGTACATTTCCTCTGTTTTTGCTCAAGATATATATCACCTTCCCTCGATCTCTCTCGCTCTCTCTCTCTCACACACACTCTCTCTGTCTATGTTTCTGAATGTTCTGGTCAAACTCATTACTCTAATTGAAACAATTGCGCCACCTGCCGAACTCAATTCAATCATGGCCATTGCACAAACTAAATTTCAAAACAATGCAGCACAACATGTTTCGGTACTGAAAATAATGCCCCGTTTGCCACTGCCACATTTTCTGGTGCACGTTGTAAATGCACATTCTGACCAAACACACACAATGCCCATCTAATTGAACGTCGATAAAGTTACAAAAGTTCAACTGGAATGCTTGTGAGCGAGAAAAATTAGACGAGAGAGAAAGAGAAAGAGGGGGTTGGAGAAAAAGATTGGGCAAATAATCCATTAATTTTCGAAAACATGTATTGAGGTTTTTGAGAGATTAGCTCCATCCGATTAATAAGTTTATTTAGAAATTTCGAGTGGTGCTTTCAACCGAAACATACCAACTCAAGTCAGTTTTTGAAAATTGTATGCGTTCTGCTACTTCTGAGATAAATGCCGCTTCTTCTACTGTAACATTCAAACCGATTGGGAGGCAGGAGTGGGGAGAGAAGGCTGCGCACCAACTCTGCTGAAAAGCCGTCTTTAACAAAGGAAGCTATTTTAAGATTAGCACAATGCACTGCTAGCTTACTTATATGTACGCAAATTTATTTATTAGCCCGAGTAAGAAAGGTTTTAGAACAACTATTTATCCACTCGAGCGTACGATCATATCGAAAGCGAGGCTTTTGCACCGTTACTTACACACAACATATTCATGCTTGAGTACATCCATCGACTTATGTACGGTTGAGTCGATGTGTGCAAGTGTGTGTGTGTGTGTGTGTGTGTGTTTTCAGCACACGGTGTGTTGCACAAAAGTACATATACAAAATTCATCGAAAATGCAACGTGCATCAGACAACCAACTGTTCGTTTCGTTCGAAAACACAGTGCATTGTACCAAACTAAGGATGACCATTGTCCATTTAAATAATGCTCCGCATTTTCAAGTGAGAATATTTGTACGCATTCAGGATTGTGATGTGAATACATTCTCTCTCTTCCGACTTCGCTCTCACTTCATCTTCCTATCTCTCTGCCTGTTAGTACATGGAATAAAAATGACGATCGAGCTGGGGAATATTTTGCATGGTGAAATTATGCTTTTTGGCGAATGAATCTCATCTATTGAACACGTTCGGTATAGTTCTCAGATGCACAGAGAAATGAGAAAAAAAACAAACAAATTCATAAATTCTTGAATGCTTGGCCCTAGTTTTC